TAACATACCTCTTTTCAGGAAAGCGAGAGCTGTGCTCGTGTGACCCGAGCACGCAGCAATGTGAAGAAGTGTGGAGCCATCTCTGGTTCGAGCTCTGATGGAACCACCAAATTTGTCGATCAACTGCTCAACGATGGACGTGTATCCTCGCTCAGCAGCTACATGCACAGGCGTTTTATCGTCCTCAAATGTATATCGAAAATATCCCTTAATCATACAGAATTTCAGTTCTATCAACGAAAATTTGGGTCATTTGGGATCATAAGACGGCTTGGCCCCCTCAACAACATAGCTCCAATTGTCAGAAGCAGAGGGGTGACCCTGCTACTGTTGAGCCATTGTTTTATCTAATTTTTTTATGCTGCACACCACTTTGCAAAAAAAAATCATGAGAACCTTGTCGAGTACGTTGGCATCTGCGTGCAATTTGAACATAATTTTCAGCAGATTCGGATCTCCCAAAGCAGCGACTTCATGCAATGCCGTTCGTCCGACCACATTCTGCATATTTGCGTCGTCACATCCGGCCGCTATAGCTATCCTGATCGCTTCTGAAAAAAGGCAGCAAATTAAGGTGGAACTGCGTAGTCATGCCTGCAGTACCACTGACCCATGTTTCCGCTACGGCACGCCAAGTGAAGTAAGCTATCCCCAGCGCCATCTGTTGAAGTGCTCTGTTGGTGTGTATGATGAGAGAGCAGCAGCTCGGCCTGGGAGACATTTCCGGCCTGCATTGATGAAGTTGCTCTCTTACAACTTCCACTGCGAGGAAAACAAAGCAAACCTTGAGCGCTAGATGAACTGGCAACGATCCGTCGCCGTCTTTCTCGAGCGCCTGATGCTCGAACACTTCTAGAATCCGTCGAACGATAAAGTATGCTTTCTTTGAAGGCCTCTCACATGCAAGATGAATCGGCAGCTGATTGCGAGGCTGAAAAACCACTTGTGAACACATTGCCCTTTGTCCCACACTCAACTTTTGGCCGGCTGGTGGTGCGTTGCCGGTTGCTAAGGTGCTGCTAACAGCGCTTGACCAATATATTCGCCCATTCAATGAGGATCCCTAGCGCAATTGGGAAAATTGGGCGTTAGATTAGATTCCCATATAAAGATTTATATGAGCCACAGAAACTACCCGAAAGCCCTCTACTCGGAGCAATGGAACGAGGTTGGACTAACTGCCGCAGCAAATTAGCCATGAGGAACATGCAAGAAAGTCCTCCCATCAAGTTATTTCCTTCCGAAACCGTTCATAGACTTCTTTCCAGCATAATCAATTCCTGAATAGCTTCGAGCAATGTAGTCCAGCCATCAAAAATCGTGGTAGTTTGGTTTCATGAGGCAATTGTATAGCTATGGGGGACGTAGAGGTGAGAGACCTTGGCGCTCGCGTGGACGTACTGAAGCGGAAATCTTGTCCGGAAATCGTTTCTTTACCCCTAGAAAGCGCCATGAAAACCTAGAATCATTGCTACCTTTTCTCTAGGAGTTTTTTAGACTTAGGGTCTTGTCATCCTCTTCCTGCCTTTTCGACCTTTTCGACGGGTGCTCAGTAAAGGGAAAAAACGACTGTCGCAGTGGATACCCTCTTCGAAGGTTTGAAAGTTGCACAAAACAATTCGACTCACGGGACCAAAAATCTTTTTTTTTTTTCAAAATGTTGCGCCATCCCGCTCCAGGAGGGTGGACCGTCATCATGCAGCGCCTTCCTTGAACCAGGGACACACTGGGTCCGATTCTATCACTTTCAGTCTATCAGGCACGCGGGCTGCATAAAAAATCTTCCACCAGTCAATATAAAGATCTTTTCTGAACTCACACCACCCGGTCGCCGTAACAGTTCACGATTCCTAGCGATAATTAAGTCCAACATCTCCTTATCCGCATACATAGCACAGATGTGGGCGACGTTTCTGAGATCCTAAAATTACTTTCCATTATCCCTAAAGCAGATCCAGTCCCAAAACTTTCTATTCACCTTGGTTACAACATTGATGTCAGCTCCTTTGGCGAGCAACTTTTCGAACAAATGTCTCTTCCCCTCTTTAACTGCAAACATAAGAGCGGTGAAGCCATGCTAAATAAAGTAATTAAGTATTTAAGATCTAGCTGCTCATCCAACACTTCCCAGACCATACTTCAGAAGAAATTATTTCGGTTAATCGTCGTTTACTTCCTATAAGCTATTGGCGCAGGCGAACTGCTTATTCAGCGGTAAATTCTCAATTCTGAAACGGAAACGAGAGTGCCCAATCGACCACTCAACTCTTATCCTTCATCGACTTATTGTTGTTTAGCAATGCTTGAGCTTCTACAAGATCCTAAAAGAGCCTCAATTGAGTGAACCCCGACAGATTCACTTATTTGTAATACTCGTTTACAGAACTGACTTTCCCATTTGGGGTGCGTCCCAAGTTTTCATGTGCGTAGCGCCTGGGCGATTTTCTGTCGATGAAGCTTGATTTTGTAAACAACAACAAGCAACTATTTTTACGCATGCCTTCCCAAATGCATCGGGCTCAGTTCCCACGAACCGTGGTTCAAAGTCACTGCGTATTTTTTACTTTTCCCCTTCAAACATTTATTTCAAAGGGTGAGCTGCCTCTTTTGCAAAGTTACACTTCTAGACAGGGCGGAGGTAGTGTAGTGGCAAGTGACGCAGTATCTCACACGTACGGTCAGGAGGTCGAATCCGGGTTCGATACCCGCCTAGGCCAACCAAGCCTTCCATTTCTCTGGGGTCGGTAAATTGGTACCAGACTTGTCTGGGAGGATGAAAGCACTGATTTGGACATCGGCTAACCACCGTAAGCCATTGTATACGGCACATACACACTCATTACGCCACTACGATTCCGAATGGAAGTCGAGTGCGGGGGCGCATCCCTCAAACGGGATTGATTAACGCCAAAGACTTTATATTTATCCTTTTATATACTTCTAGACCAGGTTTCCGAGTTTTTTTTAAGAGCCAGTATATAACTGAGTAAGT